CAATCTATTGAAAAGGTGGTTAGAAGGATTGGAGCAGATAGAACCACTGCGAAATATTTTTGAAACATTGATACCTGTCGATAAAGAAAACGATCTGTAAATCTTTATACGGTATCCATGGGATAATACATTTCCGCCTAAGCAAACATGTTACGAATAGCATCGCCTGTATAAAGGATACATCAATTGTCTAACATTTGGCGTTTGAATAGGCAGTATCTATATATCAAGGTTTTTTTTCTTTTTTTTCTTTTTTTAAATAACCAGGAGTACACATACATTTTAACGTTATAAATTGAGGCAGCTGTTTCGGACTAATACAGGACGTATGTCGGTCAAAGGAAGGTCTCAAACGAGAAGAGACCTGGTTATTATAATAAAATAAAATATAATATTTTAGCTTTATCTTAACTAATATTATCCCTTTGGTATTCTTTTATATAAGACATGGGACTTAAACATCATAGTATGCCTACATCCTCTTAAGGCGAAGTTGAACCGTACGTATATATGTTTGAAAACCCAAATCATCTAACCATTGGATCGTTGCTTCATCATTGGAATCATTTCGCCTTCCATTTGGAGCATTCTGGAGCATCATCTAAATACCACCATCCCCCTTTAAACCTGTCTGGACAATTGTTATTAGAGTAGTCACGATCTTAAGTAGAAAATGGTCGACCCTCGATACTGTAAGAACCATTAGTTAATGATTCACCGATTGGTCGTTGAAGAGTTTTGTAACGTCTGGTTGTGTGAGACTACCTTGACAATTCCGTGGCCCCTACTCGGCCTCCCAAACTGATGCTTTGAAAGTCACCGAGTAAACAATCTTACGAGAACCAACCCTAACCCTGACAGTCTACCAATCATTATTACCACCACTTTTGTAAGACACAACACTTATTAGCCGAACCAAAACATCCAACAAAAATCAGAATATAATAACGATGTTTCAAATCACATGCATCTGTTTCTTTCAATAGTTGACTCTCGCTATGTCTGTGAAGTCAACTCGGAGACAAATTTTTGATGGTTAACTCGAAGACAAAATACAACTCGATGACAATATTTGCAGACAACTCAGTGTCAATATTTGCAGTCAACTCGGAGACAAAATTTGAACACGATGACAATATTTGTCGGTGACAATTTGCAGAGTCAACTCGGAAACATAAAGAATAATAAATATGATCGGAATGGGAACAAACTATCTTCAGTATAAGATACTTCTCATACAGGGGAGAAAAATCTTCTTATAATTATTTATTCAAAGCAATAACATTATATATACGTTTTTACTTTATAAACCTACAATTCCACTACACGGTCAATTAAATTATTGATGGACACATGGCCATTGTAATATAAACCAGACAGACTACTAATCATTATTACCACCACTTTTGTAAGACACAACAGTTACAAAATCAGCCGGACCAAAATATGCAACAAAAATCAGAATATAATAACGAGGTTTCAAATCACAGGCATTTATTTCTTTCAATAGTCGACTCTCTCTATGATCGGTCAACTCGGAGACTGTTTTTAAAACATCATTATTTCAATAAATGTTGTCCTCGAATTAACTCAAGGTTGAAAGTTCCAGTTTTTATTATTCACTCAACATCATCATGTTTATTTAACTGAAAGACCTTGTCGGGATAATAAAGGATTTGATTTTGTACTTTCACGTGAATAAACAATTCGATGTATGAGTATGATCTATCTATCAGACATTTTCACTGCGATATTCAAATAAATGAATGATTCACATGAATATATCAATAAAATATTTTACCATTCTGTATCAAAATTTATCTTCAATATTTTCATGATGGAAACAATTTTCACCAGACTCAAACATCAAACATATTTTAGTTTTTCTATCAAACATGATCCTTCTGAAATCTGTAGTTGAACATTGTTAACCACAATCCAATACAGAAAAACAGAACAGTTTGAAGATGATCATAAAATAAATTCAGTTGGCATTTTTTGGGGTTCATGAAATACATTGGTTTGAACGTATTGCCCACCTTCGAATATTAATGAAGAACTTTTTCTGACGAAAAGCAAAACTATGCCAAGGTACAAAATTGTAAACTGTTCCTTGTGGATTTTTACTGACTCTTAGCAAAACCGGGAAAGCATTCAGTTCAATTGTATTTAAGTTGAAAACAATCGAAAGCTTTTAAAACTTTTTAAGTAGGATATAATAATGTCTTAGTAATTAAATCAATCAATAACTTTAAAGAATTAGATACCGATCTTGAAAATTTTTAAAAGTAACAACTTTAGAAAGGGTTGTTTGGCAATAAGTTAAATGTAAAAGAATGGACTGAATTGCAATAAATTCAACTTCCTCTCAGTATTCAGTTGGTCATCTTTATGATGTCGAGCTATTACGAACTTTATCTTATACCTTGACTGCAATGGCCACCTTTCTTTTTTTCAGAGCCGTTGACATAGACTGTAAACATTTTGGCTTATTGTTTACAGACATTCTGTTGCGGCTTCCGATTGGCTTATTCCTTTGAGTACAATCCAAAAAATGGCTGCATTTACAAACTTCCGTGATACGAGAACTGTGGCTATGGCATTATAAAGATGTCATTTGTTATGGAGAGACGCTGCATGCCAATGCTGTTAAATCATAGAGGTCATCTGCTGACTTATTTCTCTGCTGACTTATTTCAGTCTGAAAAAACTTATACAGGGAATGTAATATTTATCATTTAAAATAACACGTTAATCCGATTATCCGGTTTCTGTGGCTCCACTGTATTTATAAAGTGCGCATCCCTTTCTCATTATTGTACGCAGGTAAAAACGAGCAATGTGTTATTACACCAGTATACTGCTATTCTTTTGCGTACGGTCGAGTTATGCCACTTCAAAATATTTTAAAAAGATTGTAAAATGATGCTATGAATATTGAATTAAAAATGCTTCAAATAGGTTTAAAATCGAAAAGGCGCCGAGGTGTATATTAACCGATACCTCAAAAACTATGTAAGTACGTCACTGCAAATGAAACCTTTGCCTTGTGTTCACAGAGTCTACATGTATATAGAAGGAGCTTAATAAGACAAAGGAGTTATTGTGATTGTGTAGGGAAACTATGAGAAAGAAATTTATTTTGCATTTTCAGAATATGAATGGAAACCTGAAATATAGTTGATATAATGTATAAAATGCGTAATCGAAACTGTTACGTAACTATATACCTTTTCTGTACGTATACAAGCTCATAAAGGGTCAGCTTTTATATGTTGAAGAATTGCTAAAGGTTCTTCAAGCATATCGATGATTTTTTTTTACTTTGATAGACTGATTAGTGTGAGGGAGGAATTTTTAAATACTCTGTAAAGTCGACAATCGTAAAAAAAATCACAATCCCTTCTTTAGAAACAGTTGGTGCCTTGGCAAGGGAAATATATAATCCGGCAGCGAATTCCTTAAATTTTATATTACATATAAGAAAGATTCTGTTTATCACACAATAATTATCGAGTATCAAAAAATGCAGATTTTCCTTAAATTCTTTGTACTTTTTCTGTATAAGGCCTTCGTTTTGAGTTCAGCCTTTTTACACCTTTCTTCAAAATGTCTTTGTGCGTAACAAATAAAAAAGGGTGGTTAACACATTCATGTGATTACTAAATTGAAACTTGTAGTCAAAGTTATTTGGAGAAATGTCAAACCCTTTACCTTCCATTTTAAGTTGAGTTGTCATTATGTTATCAAGTTGGTATTGGTCACATAGTTTCTTCTTCGTCCTCCATGTTAGAAAACAGTTTTGTGACCCGAATTCATGATGACGTGCATCTGTTTCTATCAATAATAGTCGATTCTCTCTATAATAGTATGAGAAGGTGGTTAACGCTTGTCGCAACCATCTCCGCTTCAGACGATTTTCTACCATGTATCCTAATGAAACATAATTCAAACCTTATATGAATCGTTTCATTGAATAGTTTCCCTTCACACAAGACCTATTTTATATCCCCCTCCCCCTCTAGCCACCTTCTCAAATATATACTATTATAGAGAGATTCAACTATTGATAGAAACAGATGCATTCGTGGTCACGTATTACATTCTGCTAATCCCAATTTGACTGTTAAATTTGCAAATTCGTTCTCAAAACACTATAGGGATAAATTTTAGTGTTTAAACTTTCATATTAGTTTAGTTTTCATTAATTTGAGTACCTTACTTATCCAACCTCCTTTGTCCTTTGTGGGGGATGTAAGTCAGAATCTGAAACCACGTGATGGACAATCGTTCTCTTATTGGATATGTCAGTTTTGCCGCCTAGCGAAATTCTAAAACGTTCATAAAACTATTGCGGTGACGATCTGCCTGACCTCATGACCTGACATCTACGTGCGGCGATAGTTCAGATACATTTCGTTCCTAAACGCTTGTGACAGATAAATTTCTTCCGGTGCTAAAGCGAAACATCGCACCGCATCAGAACGTAGCCTAACTAAGTGAAATAAGCGCAGATATTAACAGCTATTACAAAAAACGTGGCTGGTGGCTGATATTTCAACAAACAGGAGATACAGGGGGACTTCTGTCCAACTACAGAAAGCTTTTTAACTGCAATTGCACCCCACTAAATTTTCAAATATGAATTGTGTGCTTTTTTGCCCGAAAATTACTTGCCTGAATTCACAAAATCAATTCCGTTTTAAAACGGATTCAGTCACTCATTTCGGTACCACCCTCACTGTATCTCTATGAGGTTCACCCTATTAACCGAAAACGGTGACAACATGGCGAATATTGTCGTTTGGCATGATAGTATAGTCAGTTGAAAAAATATCATGACCCTTCATTTCATAATTATTATTATTACTATTATTTCTACATAATGGAAACAAATTCATGGATGTTGATCGACGTTTTGTATCTCTTAATTAGTCTTAAATCCTATGCAGACGCAGTTGAACTTCGTAAATATCATGCCTAACACCCAAGTTTTCAAGCCATTGAACCGTGCTTTCATCGTTTGAATCATTTCGTCTTCCATTTGGATTGGCTCTGGAGCATTCTGGAGCATCTAAATACCACCATCCACCTTTAAACCTGTCTGGACAATTGTTATTAGAGTAGTCACGATCATAAGTAGAAAATGGTCGACCTTCGATACTATAAGAACCATTAGTTAATGAATCACCCAGTGGGTAGACACTATTTCCTTTAAATACATCAGAATGATACTTAAAATTATCAGTAAAATTGGAAAGAGAAAATCCACGGTAATAACCCTGAAACCAATTCGGAACTGTTGTCACCATAATACTAAGCTCAAAGTTTTCAGAAGTTTGTAATATATCATAAATATTCTGTAATCCCAGCCAATATTCACCATGTTTGTTACCAAATCCATGTACGTATTCATCCCAGGTTCTGTTAAAGTCTGTTTCTAGACATCTGTCATCTCTGTGTTGAATAAAAGTCAGCCCACCCCAGTTAAAGTCACATTTAACTTCTATAACGGGACCATTCTCTACAGGCTGAATGTATGACATCAGTTTGACTTTTTCTACAACATTCCTGTCGTGCCCATCAGAACAGTCTGTAAAGCGAAAAAAATTGAGACAAGAATGAATGCCAATCTAGAACATAGACGAAGAACATCGGTTATGATGAGATTATGATTTCGGGTTTCTTCTGAAATATATACATGTATAAGCTGTTTTGTTATCATAGAAATTTTAAAGGCACTTGTTCACAGATCTTCTTTAATCCAAAGAGAATTATTACTTATTTTTGAAAGACAATGGCCATGAAATACAAGGTGTATAAGTTCAATTTATAACTGGACTATTTACCCTCTAAGATATGTTGACACGTATCACCATAGTAACCAACAGGACATCTGATACAAACGGATTCAGAACAAATTGACTTCTGAAAAAAATATTTTTCACGCTGTAATTATTGCAGTAAAAGTCAGATTGAAATCTATCGTAATTTTAGCGTTCAATCAACGACTGGGTGAATACATACAGGCAATGTATAGTTTCAACTTTATATTTTCAATAGATATAGATACTGAAGGAATTGATATTGAAGAAAGGGGTAGAAAGGGAGGTGGGGTAGAAAGGTGTGATTGCCTCCCTAGAAAAGTGGTTGCCATTTGCATCCAACTTTATTTTCAACAAATCTAAACGTCTACCTTTTTTTCCCCAAATATGTGTCTGAATGCACAAACTCAATTCATTTTTTCTAAAAAATTTCTTAAGAGGACCCTCTAAGGCGCTCTATGAGAGGCTTGCGACTATGACACCAATACAGAAAAGCCAAAATTTGAATTTAGCCCCAGCAGTTGTCCCCTCATTGAGTCCGTCTGCCCCCTATTTGTACTATTCCTCGGAAGGAAGATGTTAACGATATGAACTACAAATGCGGCATTTTGGGGGATTTCAAGTTTGAAAAATGGCCCACCAAACCCAATTTATTTAAACTAAAGTTTCTGTTGCGTTTAAAATAAAAATGTTTATGTTAAAGGTCAGTTGATACATCGATTACCAGTCCCGTATAGTTGCGAATAAGAATAGCGGTCATAAGTTTCTATTACAACTCTCTTGTAACTGAGTTGTATTTTGCGTTCGTTACTCATGATCACTTTCATCATTCGCAACCATAGCAACTGGTAATCACTATGTGGAAAGGCATCAAGTATGTTTACAAACGACTGTAACTTACCAATCTGTAACAAACTTTATCTTCAATATTTTCATGATGGAAACAATTTTCACCAGACTCAAACATCAAACATATTTTAGTTTTTCTATCAAACATGATCCTTCTACAATCTGTAGTTGTTGAACATTTTAAACCACAATCCAGTAAGGAAAAACTCGAAGCAGTTTTGAGATGATTATTAAATAAATTAAGTTGGCATCTTTCGGATTCTAGAAATACATTAGTACGTCCGTATTTCCCTCCCTCAATTAGAAATGCATAACTTGTTCCGAAAAAGAACATAAATATCCAAAAGTCCAGCATGGTTTAAGATTTCTTGTGAATTGTGAAAGACCTACACAAATTACCTAGAGTATTAGAGAAAAAAAATCTATAAGGTATAAAATCTGTGATGAAATTAGCCTGAGGTGTATATACAATCGAATAATATTGTCGGAAGGAGGAAAACATTCTAAGCAACAGGGATCGAACGGGATGAACAAAAATTATAATTTGTGGATATTTTTAATATCGGCTGCCATTTTGGATTTATGAATACTGCGATGTACTATTAAACAAAATATGCATCTGTATATTAAGTACGTCATGTATCACAAATATTACCTATGATCAGAAATGCAACTTAATATCGTTGGAAATTCTCAAAATATCTACCATATTGTATTTATGCAAATTAAACATTTCAGTAAACATTAATTTTAGGGGACTTCATTGATATCCATTTGTTAAGAAAAGTATGTTACTGCAATTTAATATCATTCATAATCTATTTGAAAGCTATTGTAATTTAAATTTCACGATATTTACGAGAAGAGTTTTGGATATCCAGACCATCAAAACTTAAGAACAACCAGTCCATCATACTTCCAAGAATATAAGAACAGGGTTTGACTAATCCTTCAATTGAATTACAATTTTAGATGATTTCTCTGACATTCTGATGCCAAGACTTTGTCTCCTTTTTTTTTCTTTTTCTGCCTTTAAAGGAACAGATGCGCCATTTTGGGGGGTTTGATTTATGTTTTAAATTTTGGTAAATAGTCCTCAGAAGTACTAGAAATGTACCAAAATCGCATAATTCCTTCAAAAATATCTCAGACTGGTAATTTCTTTTCCTATTTCTATAGATGTAGTTTCTATGGCAGTGTCTCGTTATTTCTGGACACACATGAATTTAAATTTGAAGGCTGTGAGCACTATTACTACTTGGCTTAACTCAAACAAGAATATTTCCGTTTCTGAGACTATGGTACGATTGGTAAAAAATAGGCACAACTGTCCGTTTGAAGTCGTTTGTGAGAAAAACCACTAATATACCTATTCGCCCATCACCCAATATAAAATCAAAGTCGATACATAGGGTCTATATGTTTTGATAAGGAAGTCAGAAGGGCCATTCCGATAAAGTGTGTTAGAAAAAGTTCATAGCGTGAAGAACTGTAAATCGAAGGGATTTCTCCAGAGCTTTCGGTTCCTCTATGATGGGATAGCAACAGGAAGCAAAACATTAAATAGAATATATTACACACCGAATTTCGTCAACGTTAAAAAAACAATTTTGTTTTTGTCTTAGATGTTTCCTCAGATATTCTACAAAATAATCAAAATTGGTTTATTTCGATTTTCTTTATGAATCCTTCACTTTGACCCATATTTCATGTGCAACCAACTCGGCAGCGGCGGCAGAATGCGTCACCTTTTTTCGTGTACAATGTTTGATCTTTAAATAAGTCTAGAACAACACGTTGAATGGATACCGGGTGGTCATGTCATCAAAATTCAAAACCACCATCGATATTATACGTGGCCATGCTGTTTGATCATGAAATAACTTTGGCATTTTTGATTAAATGTAGTACATGTACTTCTGAATAGCTACCTGTGCATTTAATGTTTGCTAGATCTCACTCCGCCTACATGATTTGATATAGATATCTCTATAGAACAGTAAATATCGAATTTAAAAGATAAATTACTTTAATCATTGAGCAGTAGGATCAGTTATAGAATGTTTTGGATCACATGTAAAAGCTACTGTTATAGCATATCTGACACCACTGATTAATCTTTCTACACGATGAAGATTCTCATGACCAGATGTAAAAAATGAGACTCGACCTAAAAAAAGAAATTATGAATTGAGTTAATACAACAGGAGTATTGATAATTATAAGATATCTTCTAGAAGACCTCACTGCATTTGAATCTTGAGACATGTTTATAAATAATGAGTTCAGCTTTAACTTATATTTCAACACATTAAAGTTTTGCAATAAATCCTTTTCTACCACTGCCACCACACAGGGCTTGACTTATGGTGCAGTCAGCTTTGAGCAACTTTACATACTAGTATGGATAGGTTGATATAAATTCTTGTCATTGGGTCAAGGTTTGACTGGACCTGATTGATCTACAGCTAATATGGCATACAGAAACCAATTCTACTCACCTAGTCTAGGTTCAACTGTTTTGTTGCCATCTTTATCAATGAAAATAAATCTACCACCAGTAAAATCTTCTTTATAAGTTGATAAATACAATAAGGCAGTGTAGTGGAATGACCCATAGGTTTCCTATGAAGAAGTTTATAAATAAACTGCATCAAAAATATTCTCACACATTTCAACAGGAGGTGTTAAAGTTTTTAAAATATATTGGTACAACATCTATGTTGAACTGGTCATGGCATTTCACAATACAGTCAATGATTCAATATTTCAATATATAGTGAAAACACAGTGAATTCCTCATTTTTTCAGATAAGGGGACTGTGATCTTTTCCCACAATTCAGAAAAGTTAGGCTACTCTGAAAATCTGCTAGGAAGATAAAGATGGAGGTTTCTAACCTAACAAATTTGACCTGCCCAGTTCCTCAGCCATGATAATGATTCAACTCCCATAAAAAGCGACATCAGCATCAAATGTCTGGTCCTTCTGTTGATGAAATTACATCTGAGGAACTGTGTAGGAAGGGATTTGTCCTGCTAAGAAGCTTGATGGGATTCCCCACACAAAATCAAAAATACCCATGGCCCGTAATATGCCCAACAATCATATTGGAGGTCAATGTGTGGCGTATAAAGACTAAGGTTAAGTGGCATGTGGGACTATTGTTATGTTAGTATAGCTTATCTACATACCTTACCTACTACATACCTTATCTACATACCTTATCTACTACATACCTTATCTACTACATACCTTATCTACTACACACCTTATCTACATACCTTATCTACTACATACCTTATCTACTACATACCTTATCTACTACATAGCCTACCTTATCTACTACATAGCCTACCTTATCTACATACCTTATCTACTACATACCTTATCTACATACTTTATCTACTACATACCTTACCTACTACATACCTTATCTACATACTTTATCTACTACATACCTTACCTACTACATACCTTATCTACATACTTTATCTACTACATACCTTATCTACATACCTTATCTACTACATACCTTATCTACTGCATACCTTATCTACTGCATACCTTATCTACTGCATACCTTATCTACTACATACCTTATCTACATGTCCATGCCAGTATTCATCATGTATGCTTTTAGCCTCTGTCATATTCATTCTCGAGAAAAACGTTGGTTTGGTTAAAAATAATTTATTTTTAGGAATCTTAAACTCTCTTGTTATAGCTTCATGAATACTGTTTTTAACTTTTCTAAAAATTCAAATGAAATGATATGTAAAATTTCCTTTTACGTCTTTTGAAAACAGTTGATAATGTGTGCAGTGAAGAATATCTGACAGCTCATTTTAATGTGAATTATCAAAATCCTAATCTCCAGGCTTGCTGATCTACCAATAGAGATTTTAAATGAAAAATAATCAGCCTACCTATAAATACTAAAGTCTGTTTCTGATAATAAATTAATTTGTTGATCTTCTATCAATCTGTAATAATATCAAAAGAGGTTGAAAATCATTTCAGGGGTCATTTCAGTAATTACAAAACTCTCTTTAAAATTTTAATCAAAACATATAGGGTGGTCTATCACATTAATATGATTTTACCTGTATATATTTATAAAGGAGTTATCTTTAGACAAGGCACCAGAATGAAGATCTAAAATGGAAGCCTGAAGAAAAACAATAAGAAATATTAATACAGAATTTCAATCATGTTGTTTCTTAGAGTTTCACGCTATGCGATCTTCAGACAACTAAACTTTTTTCAGCCTGCAAGTATATTTTTAATAGTGCAGATTAGTGACAAAGTAGAGCCAATAGATATATTAATAAAAATAACATTTTACTTAATTACGGTACTAAAATAATGGTGAATAGAAACATCATAATAAAAAGTTAAATATAACAAAACTTAAATATCTACCCCTCCATTGGAACCACCTAATGCTAATCCTTTTTTAGCCACCATTAGTAAATGCCTAGCATCCTCTTTGCTTACAATATTATCCATAACAACTCGACCACATTTCTTTGGCTTACAATCTAACATGATGAATTCAGATTGTATTAGCATGTGTAGGCCTAGTGGGTTAGTGGAAAATTGAATGGAGAACTATGTATCATATAAGTTAAACAATCAACATGGAAAAGTCAGATGATTTTAGGACCAGTATCTTACTTTTGAAAGTATTAGTATAATGGCACATACAGTTTTATAATAGTTTAGATATTTTCTGCATATGACTGCCATTCCTAAGGTCATGAGCTTTATAGTATTTTTGAATATCCTTTTAATTATGTGTTTCCAGCCAAGCAGAGAATTTTCATTTGGAAAGTTAACTACAGAGTTTTTTGCTCATTCTAAAATAACAGTGTTGGCTTTTATCAATAATTACCTTCAAAGTCTTCTAAATTGTAATCTTTAGAACATGGTACTTGAAAAATTAATCTATCAACATTAGGAGATACTGGTACCAATGTTTCTATATTTTCATGATGAAATACCCACCAATATATAACAGCTATTAATCCTATGTTAACTGCAATAATACAAGGAACAGTATAAGGTTTGTCAAGTTTTTTGTGGTTCTTCATCTTCTCTTCTTCTGTCTTTTCTACATGTCTGAAATAAAACAATAAATCTTTTTCAATTTTCAACTCTCCTGTAGGGATGCCATTTGAATGACTTCAATTTTCCTTAGAAAACTTGTACAACTTCTATCCTTGACAATGAGACACTGGAATGAAAAATTCATAGAATATTTCTGATATTGTGACACTACATGCTTCACAGAAAATATTCAATGGAAAAGGAACAACTACTGTAGATAAATTTAAATCTCGCTTAGATTTGGTCTCCATACTTTTACACAATCTAACATAATGTGTCTAGTTCTAAATTTCTTAAATCAGGTTTCCGACCTTTTCTTCTTTAGTCTTACACCTTTCAAAATCCTTGATCAATTGTATAAATCTTTATTATTTTGTGATATTTTCTAAGGTTAACCCTGCAATCTTTTATTATGTCGTAGCATATACTGACAAGACATTAGGCCTATCCCCAAAAGTTTCAAATTTACTGGTTGAAAACCCGTTTAATATAACCAGAACAATGATTTCTAACAAACCTGAGCTTTATTCTCTTCTTACCATTCATATTGACTCTGGGACAAGGTTTTAGCAATATGAATATGAAATGATAGTAGACGTAGTTGTAGTCTATGTTGTTGATATTCGGATTTGACTTAAATAGGCTACACTGCTCTACACTAGTCTAATCTAACATTGTCATTTAACGAGAATTGAATAGAATTTGATGACTTGATTGAATGAGTCTTGATCAATGACATGCATACAATATTTCAATATCATTCAAGTTATGAATGTGTTTAAACCATCATGTTTCTGTAAATTGGACGGAAGTTAACGTGTATTTGTTTACAATTTTCAAGTGTTCATAAAGGGACTTAATAATAGCTAAAATAATTGGAGTTGCTTCCCATCTATTATAAATTTATATTTTTGATTATTGCCAGAGATAATTATATTGAACATTACAAAAAATGTTGGCTAATTTAAAAACAAATGTGGTTTAACCAATGTCAAGAGGTCTAATTTAAAGAGATATTCAACTGTTTTGCAGGTCGAAATTTTGCTCAAATTTGTGAAACTATAAACCAATATCTATAGATATTTGCAGTGGCAATTCTTACCCAAAGTAACTGGGAAATTTAATTCTTCAACACTCAATATTCTGGTAAATGATAAAACCGATTCAGTTCGGTATATCACAGCTTTAAATTTAATAACTTATACAATTATCTACAAACATTTACAATCAGTACATTCCCTTTAAAAATTGATAAATTTACAATATCTTGATTCATAATAAAATAATTGTAGCCTTCAAGATCAAACCTCAAAATAATGCTGATTTAAATAAATGAAGAAATTTGAATTTCATCATAAAAATATATATAATATGCAGATATAGGCTGTTATTCACAATAAAAGCAAATTTACAAAGCAAAGCCTTAAAACTTATTAATAGAAGCTAATAGGGCCTTTGTTTATTATTCCACAAAATCTTTTGTCTAATTAAACGAAGTGGCATCAGGTGTTTCAAAAAAATTAACATGTCTCTTTGTTGGCTGAATTCTGCTACAGAAATAATTGAGTATAAATTATTGGGATCTTCAAAAAATTTCATAGTTTTTACATTCAACAAATTTCAAATTTATATCAAGCACATGAAAAGAGGCAGATTTGTATTATTGAACTGGAGGGTGTGGCATGATGGGTGGAAGTGGCGGGGAGTCTCTGATTGGTCGAACGATGGGTGTATGACGCTCCAGAATATCAGCAACATCAATAGCTGGATTAATAATTTTGGTAGAAATTGGTTTCATATTTTGATTATCTGTAATAAGATCAATTCTTCTTATGAACTGAAAGTAGAAAAACAATTCAATTGACATAAAAACTTGCAATTTGTAGTAAAAAAAAAGATTCAAATCGCCACCTGTTGATCTTCAGGAGAATCACAGAAATAGCACATTGGTTGTTTATATTTCAAAATAGACGTAATGCACTTCAATAAAATATTTTATACAAATTATAATTATCTCTAGTATTTTATACTCACCCTGCCTGGACCTTTTCTTATTCTACCAGCTTCTTTAACAATAACACCAGATGATACATCTATAGCATCAATCTGAAAATACACAATTTTTGCTTATAATAACCATCCAAAACATGTTCAATCAACAAAGAATTACTGTTTTAAGGATGTATAACAAATTTATTTTTATCATATACTTTTATATTATTTTATATTATATGCTCAGAAATATAACGTGGTCAATTCCAATTTGGAGTTTCTGTGATTCAGTGAATTTAAAAATGTTGATATGTACTGTGGATATACAACCCATCATCATGTCAGCTGGTTTGATATTAAATGTAGACTTACCAGTGGAGGTGGTAGAGGGGTAATGGTGGCTTGTTTTGAAGTTTTACTGACTGAAAAAAGAAAAAATTGAATTTAATACAAATTTTGCTGTAATTGACAGAGCTATAAAGGGACTGTATCAGAAATGGTTATGACCTGATGAGGAAAATAAGGTCATTAGACTCTCTCTAACTTCTAATATAGCCCACTGAAGTATTTCCCTGCCATGAAGACGGTAGAATCTGATAAAATTGTTACCTGAGGGAGATACACCATCAGTTTTACTGTGTTTCATTGAAGAAGATTTGGAGATTATTTTACCAGGTGTTACAAAGCGACCATGTCTCATGGCCTCTAGTCTAGCTTGATTAGCTTCTACTGTAGGATCTACTATTTTATATCCAACTCTTACTCTACAATATAAACAACATTCACAATAAAAAATATTCAAAAATAGTGGCATGTTGCATCAATTCAACTTTACTTTATTTAAATATAAACTTATGCCAGTGTCAAATCATCCACATTTGAAACCATCTGTTTAGATCAATTATCAGACCCATCTTATATTAAAACTTACTTGTGTTGTGGTAGTTTATCAGGATCAATTTTTACCACTGATACAACATTACCACAATCATCATAAATAACATCTTTATTTCCCGGTGGTCGACCTGCTTGTGCCTACAAATATATCATTTTTGTATTGAAAGAAGGATGAAGGATTTTAAAACTCTACAGTTCATTGTCGTATCAGAACAAATAGATGGTTCTAACTGCAATCCTCTCAATATTTATTCAACAAATATTACCTTGAGAATGGAGTGACAGGAAACTGGCATTGTAAATAATCCACTACCACGATCTTCAGGTACAAAACTATTCATCAGTTCTTTTGTTAGTAAATTCATTTCTGATTCTTCTAATGATTCTGTTATTCGACTGACTCCAGCTGATCGTAAAGGACCACGATGTGGACGGTATTTTACCCTCTTTTTATTTGGCTGAAAAAAAAGAAATTTTGTTTGTTTAGTAGACTTTATACTCTTCAAATCTGCCTATATAATGTAATAATTTTATAAATAGAATTACATCTGATACATAAAACATACCAACCTCTGGTGGTTTGGGTGCTTCTTCCACTTTTTCTTTTTTTTCTTCTTCATCATCTTCCTCATCATCAGACACTTTATCTTCTAATTCTGGAGGATCTTCAGCTAATATTTCCTCCCTGAAAAATTAAATAATATAAATAGACATTGTATGATATTAAGTTCAATTGCTCTTATATATTAGGGCAATATGAGCTTTACAATTTACATGCTTTTTCCTTCTTCTCATTGGGCTGAGTAAAACAAGCAATGCATGTGATAATAAATATTTTTATCAGGGGACAAAGTTTTTGACAATATTTCAAATTCTATACAGAGTTCTAAAAATAAATTCCTTACTTTGTCATTTCTGGTTCAATTTCCTCTGTATCAATAGCAGGTTCCTCGTCAATCTCTGGTATTGGAGTAATCTGGGTTTTAATAAATCGTTTTGGTACAGCACCCTGGGCCCAACAATCTGTCACAGCTGGTTCTGGCTCTATAAAACAGTTAGATTAGAAAAGATATTTTCATCTTCACAGATAGCAAATCAATGTTCATGTCTTTTGGGACAAATATTTGGGCAAGTTACCCAAGTCAAAGAACAAGGATAAATTATTTATCAACATGATCAGACATCACACATTGACCAATAGAATAGCTCACCTTCATCTTGCTGCCATCCAGCATCAAATTCCACTGATCGTTCACCTTCATCTCTCATTAAAAACTGCCACTGAAATAAACAAAGTGAAACCAGTATAAGTCAACAACAACAACACCAAAAATTTCACAAAGCCATCAATAGTATGATTTGCTTCACTTATTAATCAAACCTATCAAATATAATAGCTTTGTGTTGAAGGCTGATCTTAGCTAATCTGTATTTGATTCATACTTTTATACTTAATAGATAATAAGAAACATTTCTCACAAGTTGGAATAGGTCAGCTTATATCAGCTAACACAGCAAAAAGGTTAAATAATTGCAGTCAAGTAAGTTAAGTAAGTTATGAACTATTAACAGTAAGATATATTATTTGACAAATCAATTTAAGATACATTAATTATAATTTTAAGTTATTACCTCAATAATTTGGACAATGGCTTCTTTAGCTTGGCTAATGGTAAATGGTAGAATTTGTTTTTCAATGTATCGTTCATGAATGGTATTCATTGTTCGTCCGATAACTTCATCCACAATATCTAATACAAATTCCTCGTCTGATTCTTTTTCTAACATTGTCATCCTGAAATATAGACAGTACCAGTAATCATCGTTCGGGATCAGTGTTTCAGACTACCTGTAATTTTCCTGAACGATGATCCGAATGACTCAACTGAACCTGAATCATTACTAGGTTGTCACAAGACAAGGAAACTAGACTTGCGCCTGCTCGACACTGCCACATCATCATTTGTCAATGCCATGTTGTCATCGAATAAATATTTGAGAAACATCACATCGTTCTTCATCGCATCTCATTGCATCCCAAGTACAATCATTAAGTACCATATTGAAAATTTCAATTAAAACTTAAATTTGTAGTAGGAACCAAACCATTGCTTAAATGAGGTTTACTCAATGAGTATTTTTTATTGAATATAAATTACCTAGATCTTTTTTTTTGAAATAACTTTGTGTTGATGAAAAAATGAAATATTTGTACAAAGCCTATACAATGATTAGTAAAACATTTTCTTAAATTTGACTGAAAATTGTCCTCAAGCTCTGCTGATATATTTAATCTCACATAGCCTAAATATCAAGGTAAAACTAATATAACGACAAATGTGTGAAGACAATAAAAATTCCCAATCTAAGTTCACGGAAACTCCCAGGCCTGTCAACATTTTTCTGAGTAGGAGGATGCACCAGCATTAGCAGCAGGGTGCATCTGATTGTGATTGACACTGGAATTTGCAGCAGAAGAAATGATTAAACAGTACAGTCTTCTGTTTATGCAGGGATATAGAGCTGTCACGATATATCGGTGAATCGATGTATCAATACTTGGCGATACATTTTATTTCATAAAAAATGTGAATTTATATAAGTTGTTTTATGATGTAACAATTTTTTCGCTGCAATTGTTAGAAACTTTGTATAAGACAGTGGAAGCTAACCACTTCTATCACAGTTATAAAGTTATAATTTAATATATATATAAACTTTGAAGAAGAAATGTTAATTTTTATATTAATACTCCATATCGCAATATGTATCGTGACCCTTGTAACACGATACGTATCATATCATGGCATAATTGACGATACCCAACACTATAGGGATATAGAAGAAATATCAAAAATTCAGTTTTTCGTCTGAACTAAAACTTGATTTATTGTTTCTTCTCGTAATGAAAAAATAAATGTTTACACTACATAAGTAAGTAAGTTAATATTATAAATCACAGATTATGTTCTAGTAGACAGATTATAGATGTTGGTTATTAAATTCATAAGCACCACCGGATGTTTTGATTAGCACGAGGAGTATCACAATTTCCAATTCAAAACAGCCCGCTACAGCACTCGTATGGACTGTAATTAGTTTTTCTGTTGGAATAAAACATTTTATTGCAGACATCATTTGATAGAAATGGAGAAAAATGTTTGGAGGAAATAAAAGTCATCCAAAGTCGCAAAGAAAAAAAAGGCAGTGGCATAGTCAACATTTCTGTCTTTGCAGCCATTAACACCATGTCAATCGTTGATAGGTCTACACAGTGTAGACACAATTTACTGACCTAACCGTGAGTTGAAATCGATCAACTACGCACTTCACTAATAAAATAACATATCCACACTACTATCCACAACTCCATCACAATTCAACACCTGGTTAATGTTTCAGATCGGTGAGTAGTGAAAATTATGAAAATTTTCTCTGCCATTACCTTGAAAGCCATCAGCGATTTAATTGGCTGTTAAAATGTTATGGTCAAGGTCATGAACTTTTAAAGCGATTGTCATCCAGTAACTTGAATGTGTTAGACCCTATTTACAAGGTTTATTGTTAGACTAGCAGCGGCATAAGTTTGTTACGACCGCAAGATTCCGCTGTTGACCTGCTACTGTTGACACACCACTCTACAAATTTTATCTTTATTATCTGCTACATTAAAAAGTTAATTTCTTTCATTACACATTTTGTTAAAACACTGTAAGTGAAAAGTCAAGTATTACAAAACATTAATTAACTTACCAATCATTGTCAAAAAATTTGCCAGGAACAATCTCTTGTGTAATAACTGGTGTCTGGGAGGCTGGCGGTTTCCCCTTTTCTGCTCGGGACTTTGAAACAGCAGCTCGAGACATTTTGCTAGTTGTTCTTAACTTAGGCCAACAAAATCAATTCTTTCACAGGAAATTCAGTTTGCTGTTAGTAGTTGTCCTGACAAAGTTTTGCTATATTTATTTTGTTTCTCTATTTTTTTTGGAATGATCTCCCAGTTCGCAAATCGCAACTAGATCTACCACTGTTTTCTTAGTGGAATTTCACATTTTCTCTTTTTCCAAAACACCAACTAACAAATTAATAACAAATCTGTGGTGATTCTATTTGACAAATTAGCAATTGATGCAGAATATTCACATGAAACAACAAAAAAGTAATTCAGTCACTCGATTGTCGGCCATTTCCGGATGTTTACGTTTCTATGACAATGACGCTTTAGATTTATTTTCACGCAATAACGAGATTTTTAGATAATTTATACCGATTACTTAAAATTTGATCTTTAAAAATACAAATAATTCTTAAGCCTTGAAAATATCAATTTCATTTCATATATTTATTTTTTTTTATTAGATTAGAGAAAAATTCCAAAATTGTCACGTGATCATTTTAGAAAATGGCTGACTGAAATTTTGAAGAAGTGAACACTTGTAATAAATATGTAACAGGTTGGTTATATAATCCACATTAACGATTACAATTTTCAACTATGGTTTTTATTCAAATACATACTGCAAACATGTGAAGAAAATTACTATATTGCTCTACGTGAAATAAGTTAAACAATTATCGTTGCTACCGACGCGACGCTCGCCTTTTTGGCTTTAATGCACTCTGCCTGGATTTCTCGGCCTTTAGCTTTCTGACAAAGAAGAGTTATTTTCTCAGAAGATGTATTGCAAAGCCAGATAGCAGATTACTCTTAGTTGTATGCCTACTGCACATTATCACAATCTATAATATAGATGAGACATGAATGACATGATGATGAGTAAAATATGATATTTGTGTATAGGATCTAGTACAGTGCTTCTCAACCTTTGGCTTTATGATCCATTTCCCTGATTGAGATAAATATTTCTCTCCCATTTACTAGTGTTGAAACGGTTAATAATTTTGATGAACAGGGTAATATTCGGCAATAACCTTTTGTTACCCGGTTAATTCCAGTTGTTCACTCAAAATATTCTGACTGATGTTTCTGTGGATATGAAAAAGCAACTAATTGGTGATTATGAGAAATTACCCTGCACTACACAGAAAGATTTGCCATGAAATTTGGTTAGGTCAACCAACAATAAGTGACATTTTGAAAAATAAAGAAGAATCTTATCTAGGTCACTGAACTACTTTATTAACATGTAGCGCATATGTTAAAAAATCTTGAAATTGAGTACCTAGTTTGGACCAGTATCGCAGATTTGTCAGTTTCAGGCATGATAATCTTTACAACAAAAATCAAAGATTAATTATGTCATGAATTTTATGTCTAAAATGTTCTCTTTCAACTTCTAGTTAAACTTGACGGTTAACCGATAATCTCAAATCAAACCCAATTACCTGTGAAATCCTATCCGAAATTGGTTAAATGATTAACCGTTTCAACACTACCATTTACCATTTACCGCTTACTCTGTAAAACATCAAAAAAATTAAGCATATATCATATAACCCCCTTTTCCTTAAATTTCAAATTTAACCCGCTAAGAAATTTGAATTCATCCCTGGGCACCCCTGATCTAATATGTTTCTCAAAAAAACAATCAATATAAGCTCAATATGATTATTACTGTACAAGTACCCCTCATTTTGTTTCAGAAATAAAAGTTTTGCTATTTTAATCTGATTTTAAGAAAATGCAAAGTTTAATGTTTCAAGTTGATGGACATGGTTATGGTGTACCTAAACAATACCATTCAGGTACGTAAAATAAACAATTAGAATGTATAATTATTGGAATGTATAGATCCAAATTATGAAAAATCATAGTTCGTGTAGAAGTATGTTAAAAACGATAGCTTTTGATCAATGTTATTTTAATAAAAGAGATCAGAAACTTATATAGTATAAGTAATTTATAAATATTTTTTTCCTTAGTTCATGATTTTGGTAAAGATCATATAAGAGAAAATGTAAGACGTATGAGACAAATTCAGAGACAAAGTAGAGAAAAAGAGAGAACCAGTCAACAGCCAGTGAAAGGATTATGGAAATCCAGTAAATTTGAAAATGTGCCATCTAAAGTAGCTTCTGAATTGAAGGTAAACTAGACTGACCCACTTATCCTTATCAAAGTAAGAACTTGAGCAATTATTAAAGAGGCTGACATGGACAAATCCTTTTGTTTTGTGCTCTATAGGTTAAGGGTCAAATCTGTAGGACGTTTAATTGTATGACTTTATTGTTGAATTAGTAAGAATTTATATTGATCTTATATATTTAGGCCTAGATCTATTGAAATGTATGTTTATCGATAATTGTGTATGATGTGGTCGTATTTTTTCAGAAAGAACCCCCTGCACCCAGACCACACTCAGCAAATTATCTAAGAGCTCATTCAAGATCAGGTCCATTAGTGAAAGTATATAGTAGACCATGTACCCCTGAAGTATCAGATGATCAAATATCAGTTCCTTTAGCTAATAGTAAGGTAAGTGTAAACTATTTGTTGATTGCAATGTTTGCAGATGTCTGATAATTTATTCTACTATATATAAGTTTTTGATAACTGGCTAGTCAATAAATAAAACATTAAAAAGTCTGTCAAGCTGCCCTAAAAAATTTGTTAGTTTGGCTAAAATTCCTTAGAATGTTTAATTCAAATGGAAATTCTAAAAAAGGTTCTAATTTTTTTTATGTGAATTCTTTTTTTTTTATTTCTAACAAGAATGTGCAAGCAAATCAAGCCTTATTTAAAAAAAATTTTCTTTTGGCTTGTGTCTTTGTTAGATTCTTTAGTGTCAAATCAGAGAAAGTAATCCATTTCAATGTCAGAAACTTCCCTCATTTGAGCTCTATATTAGCTCTAAAATTTCTTAATTTTATCCCTAAAATAAAACCTTATTTGATAGTTATGATAATTTGTTCCTGATAATATCATAATTCAAATCTATATCAGTTTTAGAGTCTCATGGTTATCCTCTATATGTACAAAGGTTAATTCAGAAAGTATTGTGTTAATTTGTCTTCTATCCATATGAAATCTTTTCAACACAAATGTTATATTTTTTTCAGGCAAATTTGATCCGAAATGATGTAGATTTTATCAAGGTCAATGGTGTATCAGTTAAACATGGAACTATGTTCAAAAGTCCATCATTAACAGCTCTAGATGAATTAAAAGATAAACAAGACAAAGAGATGCAGAACTATCATAAGGGAGAGGTACCAAAGTAGTAAGTATTTATTGTATATGTATATAAGATATTTTATCAGCAAGTTGATTTATGCATGATAAAGGGCTTAAAATATCCTTACTTCTGGAGTCCTCAGTGCTGTCGGCCTGAAGAATAAGATGACAGGTTCATTTCACAACTACTTGTGACCTTTGAGAGCAAAAGAGGTCTAGTTAGGTTGGGACAATGGTCATTAGTTCTAATCTAGATAGGGTGTGAAAGTTTTATATCCAGTTCAACTAATTTAAATGTTAGTGCACATGAATGAGGAAAGCTGTTGCTGGAAGCAATCTATTCAATTTTAATCTTTGTACACTTCACTAAGGAAGACCATTGCCATTGTCTCAGCTGCCCTGCTAAATTTTGAATCTCTGCTGCTCTATGTTATAGTAAATATTTCTGTATAGTTTAAGATCCAGACAAGCCCAATGGAAGAGGGAAGAAGAAGAAATTAGGGCTAATACACCAGATCCCAGCATGCCACCAGGTCATAGAGCTCTTAGTGATAAAGAGAGAAGAGAAACATTGAATTTACTCTATAAAAGTAAGTCAAGATGGCTACCAATATATGAGTAATATTTAAAAGACAGTTTCCTATTAAACAAAACTTTTGTCATGGTTGTTGATGAACATGGTGAGGGTGGAGCTTATGTCAGTAATGATCTGTGCAGAAAAACATCAGTCATTCCTTATCTCTCAACATTTTCAGAGTAAAACATCGATTTAAACTAGTTGTACCACAACACACCAGACTCTTGTTTATACAATGAAAAGATCTAAGGGAATTTTTATTTCAAGTTATATATCTGTCTACTGTACTAGTTATAAGGTCAGGGCATATTCATTCAACTATATCTAAATGCTTTCATTTCTTTCAGAGCAACAAGAACTACAAAACCAAGCATCCAAGTTACCACTACGTACTGACACAGTCCGAATTCGAACAGTTAAAAATGACCTTGAAACGAAGCTTTGTGAGGTTGAGGAGGCCATCAAGATATTCTCCAGACCTAAAGTTTTTGTCAAGATAAACCAATGAAGAATTCTAATAACTTTGAATGTAGATATTATTATCTAGTGTGACCATTGTGATATTTTAGAGACTGTCCTATCTATTTTATCCTCTCTAGTATAATCAAGGATTTAAAAGATTAATGAATTTGGCTTATTGTAAGTCTGAGATGGTTATCTGGACTGTGATGGTATTCAATTGACCTATTTATACAAATTTCATACATGACCTTTATCATGTGAAGAATGAAGAAGAAACTTTTAGAGATGATGTATATCTGTTATAAAACAGGAAAGAGTTTATCAGATTCAGTAATAGCCATTTGAGAGTATGAAGAAGCCATGTTTCAGACTAAAATGAAAAATATATGCACAGTAATTTATTCAGAATAAATCAAGAAAAAAAGAAACAGACTTTTTTGACCTTGACTCATTTATAGCCTCAGTATTTGCAAAATGTGACTTTGTTATTCAACTAACATTTTAAAGACTTTCCGTCCATTTTAATTCCATTACCATGATTGGCAAGATATGACCAAAAATTCCTTAGTTTTAATATATTATACTTATTATTTCAATGATTTTGTATAATAATCAACTTATTTATTTATAAAGATATTTTACTTAGAAATATTGTTTATTATTACATAATGTGAAATGTCCATGTGCCTGTTAAAAACTTGTAGGCAACTATTTCAGTGAGAAATGTTTGTCTACCTTCAATGATTCATCACCCTGGGTTTTCAATTTTATGTCCTGAATCATCATTGACTGCACTCTGTATATATGGCTCTGGTTTTGATTAAGGGTTATGTCCTATTTTAATACTCACGTTTGAGTTTATTGTGGCCTGAAGGATATATATATTGCCTTAAATGGATAGGAAAGTTAAGTTACACCTTTGTAACTGGAGATTTTCAAAGCGTTTTCAGTCAAGACAAAGAACTGACATTGAAGATAGCTCAGTCGTTGGATTAAATTTCAAACCATTTCATCATCCATATATTGTTCTATAATAGGTCATAATGCACCCTCCCCTGGCCCCCCCCCACCCCCCACCCCCCCACCCCTATTTAAAGAGACTGGTCGGCTGTTGACGCCACTGGTGACTTAGTACTGTGGAGTTCTATTTTACACCTGGATATTCCAAATTATAAATACATGGCCTACTTTGGCTCGTAAGTTTCAATTGTAAGGCTTTTTGAGTTTCTGTATTTCATTTCATATATAATGCTAGTAATGGGTGTGTAATATATTTGACATTATACTTGATCTATCACCTTTTAAACCAATTTCTCGTGAGAAGCGCAAGACAGGTCCAAGATATTGTAAATTGAATCCTATTGTAAATATATATTTGTGTGCGTGACACATGCGGTATATATATTTTGTGTATTTTATGGTTTTTATACTGTGAACCAAACGTTTGAATTGTAGGCTCAGTGCTGCTATATAATCCTATACACATTCCCTGGTGTCAAACATTTTTGGTAAAACTTGTAAAGTTATAAAATAATACATAAGCTTATATGTCTTTTCCACCCTCCTAAAATATATCTAACGAGTCAATTGGAAATAAACCACAGATCAACGACAATGTGTAAAAATGTACAGGTGATATACGGCACAGAAGAAACCAATAGCCGGGATAACAGATTGAATATAGGGAACTTTCAAATCAAAATAACCATATAAGATGCAAGATGCTACTTGTATAATATAATATTAAGACATGCGGCATCCCAGCCCCACTTTTCACATCAAAAATGAAATATATTATTGATAACAGCTTTCATATAATACGCAACAATTTCTAAATTTTCTTTAAATTGAAATTTAACCATAACATCATTTATATTCAGAGCCCATTAATAATAGATCGGTTTCATTATCAGCTCGGAATCTCGTCACATCATCTGTGGATCGATGCTTTGTTAAGAAATTTTGAAGAAAAATGCTCACGTATTGTTGTACTGAACACTTGTTTGATGTTGGCCGTCTTCGTGTAGCACCTGTTACTCTGGGTAGGAGTTATCGTTCGTATTTGATATCGGCCCAGTTGTAGAACCTGAGCTGTCAGTGTAACACACAGTTTACCGGTGTATATCAGTTGTATATTACATAGTTATACAAAGTTGGGGAATTTCTTGGGATAAAGTGGTGTATATTAGATCTGGACTTTAAATAACTGTTGTTTATATTGAGGAGTAGTTATTACATACACATAATGTAAAATCAAGGTAGGACCAATCACCTTCATAACTTTTTCCAAAAATTTTTTAACATGAGAAAGTTTTGGGTGGCCTATATTATCTATATATAGTATTGTGAAAAAAAGGTACAAACTGAAAAGATGAATAACATTGTTCTACATTATTCTAAAAAAATATCAGTGAGAACCAGGCAATATATTGCAATAAGCATAGTTCTTTTATGCCAGCACCAAAATGTCAAGTCATAAACCTACATAAACATTCTTAAATTTATTCTGACCCCTTCACCAATTGACACTGGTATTAAAAAGGGTTATTGTTGACAGGATTATATAAATATTATACTAGGTTTTAGGTTTTATAAATAAGAGCAATTTGTCAGTCTTATCACAAAATGATATTCAAAATCCAACAAAATTCAATACATTGATTACATTACAGTATAAGCATGGAATCAGTGTTGAAAAATCAAAAATATTATACATGAGATGTAAAAAATTGTGTAGCTGTAAAGTGAATACTTTGGCCATTAAAATAATTACACATTGACAAATGTGGATAAAGTAGCCACCCTCAGTCCATTGCTCTACACTGTCTTGTATATAAAGCAAGTCTCAATGACTGTCACCTTGGTTTTATAAGAGTTTTTACGGGTCAAAAGTCTTCAATTTTTTTTATATCTTTATACATTGACACCTTTTTTCTAAAGGATTTCTCTGTATTTGTGACCTCAGAAAGGAAATTGTCTAACTGTGTAATGTGCCACCTGTGTGACTTTACGTATAGATTTACTTAGTAAGATATATAGTAATATAGGCCATTCATAGTTAATCATAATATATTGAATGATTCAATCTAAATTCTAAAATATTATGCTGTGTAAGTAAATCAAACTGTAAGGCCTACTCATGTTCATTATTTAGCTATATTCAGCTAGTATTTTGAAGACTCCAAAAGGTTGAAATTCTGGATTCAAAACGTATCATGTCACATATAGAAACACCACCTTCCTGTCATATAAAATTGAATTGATGATTTGGATGTTTCTTTTCATTTTTAAAGTAGCTAGCGAGAATATTGGTTTTAATCATAGAAAGGAAATATTTTAGGAGCTGAACCATTCAAGCACTATCTGGCTCAGTTTTTAGAAATAGGATTTTTTTAACTCCTTTTTTTCTGTCAAAGGTTGTTGTGATGTGTTTGGTTCTGTGATAAAATGAAATATTACTGTTTATACAAGAATTCTTAAATGTGTACCCCCTTAAAACTTGAAGCATCTTTTGAGGTTGTGCTCAAACCAAAATTTGAAGAGAACATTTTATTCTAACTCCTACCTATCCTAAAAAAAATATTACTGGTATAACATCTATATCACATGGATATAACCTAAATTGTTAGAATATCTCAAATACCTTTGATCTATTAATATATTACATCCTTTGATTCATCTTATGTTTTCTAGTTTTTTCTGGTTTACAGGGCCCTGACCCCAGCCCTTCCCCCTATAGTTATGTCACTACTAATTTCCTGTCAAATGACTTTGAATCCTGTAATTCCAGGAAAATAGTATATTTTTATTAGCGTAACCCATGTCTGTCCATCCATCAATCCGTCTGTCCACAATTGCTCGTAAACACTTTAAAAGACACAATTCTTGACGGATTTTGACGAAACTGAGTTTGAGTGTTTCTTATCACCCAAGGATGAACTCAGTAGAATCGAAAAGTATGTAGTATGAGTTATTGTCCTTGTTCTTGTGAATGCATCAAATTTTAGCTTGTAAACATTCTGAGCACAATTCTTGATAGATGTTGATGAAATTTGGTGTGAGTGCTTGTAATCACCCAAAGATGAACCCTATTGAATATTTGAAAAATTCTTAGTATGAGTTATGACCCTTGTTCTTGAAAATTCTTTCAAGTTTTAGCCTTTAAACATTCTAATAGGCCCAAATTGACAGATTTTGACAAAACTTGGTAATGTTCAATAGAAGCGTATGACTGAAGGTTGTATATTTTATGATGGTGATTGTTACTATACTGCCAAATATATTTACATTGTATTCAAAATCAAAGTATATTACCTTGCCTGGCAAGCTATTTTGTAAAACATATAAAGATTAAGATATTTACATTGACAAATTTATATGTCATGCTAATTGATAAAAAGATGATTGATTTAAACCATGAAATAACTATAAAGTATTTTTATTGTTTTAATATATCATATTAGTGACATCTGACACCAGACTCGAGACTTGGTGACATGTTACCTAGAACATTACTAGCACCACCAAAATAGTATCATATTCATGATATCTGTCTGGGACAAGCTAGGGCTACTAGGAACATTTTTGTCAAAATTTCAGGAAATAAAAGTTTTGGCTTTCTTGAAACTTGCAAGAAATATCCACATGCATGGAGTTTTTAAGCCTACATTGTAAAGATAGCCTGATTTCATAGGAGTATTATGTTAATCATAAACATTATTAACACCATTATTGGAGTGTGGTCTATGAGTCTATACTCCGACAAGTGATAAGTAAGCCCCATCAATGGATGTCTTAAAATCTCTTTTGTTCAGAGATTGATAATAACCAATGTCCTCTTCTAGTTTTCTTTTCTGATGAGGATTTTGGAGACTCAGAATTGTCAGAAATGCAAACTTCAAGGATTCCATATTTTGCACCTTGACACACAATAACAGCCCCAATTCACTCCTGGAGACACATATAATTATTAACTTGAAAATTGTTTTATTTTTTCCTGCATTTTCTAGAATATTACGTACCTGCATTTGTCTTAATAGTTTATGCAAAAAAGTGTACTTTATGTGTTTGATAAATACTATTTTTGTATATGTGTCAGTTTAAGTGTGACATATGTATGCAGTTTATTTTTTAGTTGAAATAGTTAGGTTGTTATAAAATTGTTCTAAAATCTACTGAAATGTGGTTGAAAATTATACATACCAATTCCAACAACACACAGTATACATTTCTGAATATAAATTATTTACTATGGTTTATTCTATAGAGCTCAGTGAAGCGAATTAAAACAATTATTAAACAATACAAACAAAGATAGAAATAAAGTCATTAGGTTTTTATAAATACTCACTAATGGCTCCTAATTAATCAGGCTTGACTCTACCATTCATTTTAAAAATTAAATAATTTCATAAACAGAGTTGTAGAATACCATAGAGGATTGATAGGCACTTAAAGGGAACATGCTTTAATTTTGGCTTCACTGTAAATGATTATGTAAAACAAGTCATGAAACTGGCTAATTCTGACCAATCTTTATGATCCACTTGAGAAAATATATCTCTGCGATTCACCCCTAGCACTTCAAAACATTGAATTTTTTTTTAAATTCTGAAAATCCCCCCCCCCCCCCTAAAAAGTTCATAC